ATCCTCCAAACACCCCATTCTTCTTCCAGTCTTCCTCGGCCTCCGATAACCAACTAATGTGTGAAGGACCATGCCTTGTCTTTCTGTTACAGCTTCTCCAAGGGCTCCTTAAATGTTTTCCAAATGAATAAATGTGTTCTCCTATTTCCTACCTGGGCTTTCAGTCATCATACTAATTCTCTGACTCCCCTGCTGTTAATACCTTTCTGACTCAAGGTATTGTACTTATAATAAACACTTTTAATAGGATTATAGTTTTCCCTAAATTTTCACACACAAGTCCCGCATTCTGGAGAGTAACGGGGAGTCGACAATAGAAAGGTTACCGCTTTCTGAGTAGGAGAGTGGAATGGCCACATTTTGGACAGGCTCAGGGTCTGAAGTCTCCAAGTGCCAAGTGCATATACTCTGCTCTGGTCTAAGAATGAAAACCAGTCCTTTGTCAGTGCCTGTTCCCGAGGCATTGGGAAGGAGAGTCTGCAATAAGGAAAGAAGAGTCATCATGAATCGGGAGTTGAGCAGAGTGCTTAAATTTTGGAGTGGATCTACTGTGCATGCCCTACTCCAAAGCTTCTCAAAGCAAAAAGGAATAAAAACAGATCTTCCTTAGATGATTAAAGAATTCTTTTCACCTCTATGTGCACGTGACCACACATACATGTGAAGGAACTATTTAAAATATACGTCTTTGATCAGGAATAGCAGATACACAGAAAAATCCCCAAGCTTTTCAATCCTCTCAGTTAGGATCTACTATGTCAAGTACTAAGACTACTGGGTTAAGGACTACTGTGTGAATGATAAAACTAAAACAATTTAGTAATGAGTCTGATGTCCTTTATTCAAGGGAGAACAACCCATGGATTGGGGGAGGACAGTGCCTCACCAGCTGTGGAGTCCTGTTCCTAAGGGATGTGGGGCATGAACTAGTTTTTTAGAGCATTAGAAGGGCATGCTTGGTTAGGTCAGGATTTCCATAAAAGTCGAGAGGGTCCTGTTTTCTAGGCTAAGCTGAGCTGGAAGATTGTGGTCAGTGTAAGTTAGGTTTCCTTGACAGGGGTTCCCTGTAAGTGCAGGCTGACTTAGGTTTAGATTTGTGACATGGACCAAGCCATTGGGGCAGCCTCCATTTGTGGTCCCGATATACAAATTAACTTGACCACTACCAAGACAAAAATATAAGCTCTGCCCCCAAAGAGTTCAGTTCTTGGAAAGCTTTTTTTAAAAACTGAGTTGTAATTAACATATTGTAAATTACACATAAAGTATACTAACGGTAGGTTTTGGTAAATGTAGGCACCTTTGACACCATCACCACAACCAAGACAGTGAACACACAGATCACCTTCTTTGTGCCCTGTTCTAACCCTTCCTCACACCCCAGCCACTCTCCCATCCCCTGCCCCCATCTGCTGGGAAAGCTTTTTGAATAACAAAGTACTAAGTTAAGAGGTAGTAGATTCAGAGTGTTTTCTTAAAGCTAAGGAAATAGAAAGAAAAAAGTGCCAGATGGGTTTCAATTTGACAAGCGTAAAAGAGAATGACCCAAATACTAAGTGAGGAACTACAGGGTCAGCAGTTTCAAAGAAATAACTGCTGGGCTTCCCTGGTGGTGCAGTGGTTGAGAGTCCGCCTGCCGATGTAGGGGACACGGGTTCGTGCCCCGGTCCGGGAGGATCCCACATGCCACGGAGAGGCTGGGCCCGTGAGCCATGGCCGCTGAGCCTGCGCGTCCGGAGTCTGTGCTCCGCAACGGGAGAGGCCACAACAGTGAGAGGCCCGGGTACCGCAAAAAAAAAAAAACTAACTGCCAAGATGACCCAGAAACTCCAAAGTGCCACACTTCATCAGGAAGTTACAACAGAAAGTTCTCTTCACAGACTCACTTCTAGAGCTATGTGCAGTTCTGGTTATCATCTTCTCCACAGTATAAATACAGTGAGAACTAAAGGCAGCCCAAGAAAGGAGCACGATTATAATTAAGGATATCTAAGATCCTTTCTGCATGAAGACCGAGGCCCAAGATGCTGTTCATCCAGGCAATTTTCGTCACATTAGTAATGCTGGCCTCCCTTTATCTAACCTCAGTTTCCTCAAATGTAAAAATAGGCATTAGAACTACTTGGCTGAACTGTTACGAGAATTAAATTAACTACGTGGAAAACCAAATGCAAGGGTTCCTAACTAGGAGCCCCAGAGGCCCAGTGAGTTTCCAGAGGTCCCCATGAAATTATACAGATGTAGTCATACATGTTGCCAGGTAGAGAGTCCTGAGATTTCAGCAAATTCCAAGTCTATGGCCCCAGGAGCTTAAGGATCACTGGCCTAGCACACAGTGGGCATGCAATAAATATAAATGCCTTTTTTCTCCATCCTTTCTCTTCCTTCAAATGTTGTCTTTGGTATGATATTATTAAGAAGGAAATTGTCTCTGTGCCATTTTACTATGTATCCTATGTAAGGGGCTGAATAGAAAGTTTCCATTTGAATTTAGTGCCAGAAAAAATCTTCGCTTCCCCTCAAGAACTGGCATGTTTCTTCCTTCTAAGAAAGTTATGAAATTTAACATGCTTTGATCTCTGCTCTGGTTGCAAAGAACTCAGGCAAAATCAATATATGGGTCATAAAAACAAAACAAAACATATATATATATATATATATATATATATATATGGGTCATAGACACTGTTATCTCTTCAATTAACATAACTTACTCCTTCCTCTTTTCCTTGATCAAACCCTTCCATTTCTAGACTATTAGATCACCACACACAACTTCAAAACCTTCGTGGCAGAGACAGGAAAGCAGGAACAAAAAATACCGAACACTTAGTTTGAAAGATACTGTGACCAATGCCCATAAGATATATAGGAATTGGACTAAGACAGCTCTGTTTAGCAAATACCACAATGTTAGAAGGTAGGCTTAGGACACATAAAAACGCAGCACAACTTTATACAGAGTGAAATTCATTTATTTGTCTAGGGGGTCATATAGACTAAATATAAATAGATTTGTAAAAGGTTAACATAAATGGCAGAGCCTTAATAGCTTAAGCTGACCCAGGACATTTGAAAAACTTCCCAGAGCTGAGGTTGAGGTTCAGGGGTGTAGTGATGATCTCCGTAACAGGGTCCTAAATGCTGCTGGAAGCAAAGCACTGCACTGGTTAAAACTGAGTGTTAGGATTCTTTTGTTTCCATGAGACTCCAAAGAATAAAGCTGATCCTACAGGAGTCTTAATAAACTTCAACACTAAATGGCTGAATGACAAAGCAAACCCATTAAAATGTACTCTCAGGTAAAAATCACTGAGGACACACTAGGGTAAGAAAAAGAAAAGGTGGGAAGTATGAGGAAAGCTTAACTGCAGACAGGAGACATTTGGTACAAGCCACCCTCCCCCAAACTCAGGAGCATCACCCTTCTTTAGGTCAGAGGTCACCACTCAAGAAAGGCCTGTGATACTCACCTCTTAGCCAGTCTAAACCACTAACTTGACAGGACCCAATCTTGATTATTTTTTTAAAAAATTTAAGACATACACTTCTCCACAAATTTATCACCCTTTGTTAAGATGGTATAGGGGCCCCAAATTCTAACCACCTCTTTGAATTACTCATTACTGCGTTCTCCCACGTATACACACATTGTACGTGTAAATAAACTCTTTTTTTCCCCCTCCTGTTAAAAAAAGAAAACAAATTTAAGACATAAAGTGGCATCAAATTCTAATGCTCGGGACTTCCCTGGTAGCTCAGTGGTTAAGAATCCGCCTGCCAATGCAGGGGACATGGGTTCGATCCTTGGTCCGGGAAGATCCCACATGCCACGGAGCAACTAAGCCTGTGCACCACAACTATTGAGCCTGTGCTCTAGAGCCTGTGAGCCACAACTACTGACCCACACGCTGCAGCTACTGAAGCCCGTGCGCCTAGAGCCCATGCCCCACAATAAGAGAAGCCACTGCAATGAGAAGCCCGCGCGCAGCAACGAAGACCCAATGCAGCCAAAAAAAAACCCAACAATGTGTCTTTAAAAAAAAAAAAAAAAACTCTACCGCTCATGCTAAATACAAGACCCCAAAATGTGGAAATGACTTTTATGAAAGTAACTCTTTGTACTTACCTCAGAAAATGAAACTGTTGTATTCTGATACTGTGAATGTATTTGGAAAATAAGAAAAGTGACATTGCTGGAAATATGACGCAAAATAGCTTCCTCTGGAGAGGGCTTCTTGAGCTCCAAGTATCTAAATCTCCCCACAGAAAATTCAAGAAGACCTACAAGGAGAGAAACGTTTCATTGTAACACTTATATCTCTAACAGCGATTTGTACAAACTGCATACTTAAACACAAATGCATGGCTAATTTAATCCTCAGAAAAACCCTTGAGATAAATATTATTATTACTGCTCCTATTTCACTGATGAGAACAATGAAGCTCAAAGGGGTGAAGCTGCCCACCCAGGGTGCCTCAGCTACAAAGGGTGGAACTGAGAACCTAAAGGGAAGAAAGGTATTTCAAAAGATGTGAGGGCTTCCCTGGTGGCGCAGTGGTTGAGAGTCCGCCTGCCGATGCAGGGGACACAGGTTCGTGCCCCGGTCTGGGAAGATCCCACATGCTGCGGAGCGGCTGGGCCCGTGAGCCGTGGCCGCTGAGCCTGTGCGTCCGGAGCCTGTGCTCCGCAACGGGAGAGGCCACGGCAGTGAGAGGCCCGCGTACCGAAAAAAAAAAAAAAGATGTTAAAAATAGGCCGTTCAAGGTGCCTGGCTCCCAGAGCCCAGGAAAATCCCCCTTCTGGTCGCAGCAATAACAACTCTATTCAGAACAGAGTCCCTGAATTTAAGGATTAACAACCCTGGTGAGTTACTAACAATCGTAAATGCACTGGTACTAAAGATTATTACAATCTAGTGAATTCTGAAGTCAGCCCAGCTAGAGAGACACATCTGGCTTCAATTTTACCCCACCATTTACTAGCTGTGTGATCTCAGGCAAGTTACTTAATTCCTTTAAACCTCAATTTCTTCATCTGTCAAATGGGACTGAAGTACTCAGCTTGCAAAGGAAGGTGTCATCATCACAGGCAAAAATGTCTATTGAGTGTCCACACCAGGAACTTCATGAATCATAGGGCTTCTGGAAGAAGGAGCTTTTCGTTTGTTTAAGGATCAAATTCGGAGTCCACATAAAAGATAGGCTCTAACAAGTTCTCCAACACCTCACCTAGGCTTTCCCATTTGTCCACTTGCCTGCACTGTCTGCTTGTGTCTCACTCACTCACTGTGTCTTAGCTCCCAGCTGCTCACCAGTTCTTTCCTTTTCTAACCTAATTCTCAAGGGATCCACTAAATAGGCTGCTTTGACTTCTGTGTGGTTCTGGGTTCCCATCTCACCCCCTGCCCTAGAGTCAGTATGTCTTTGCATAAACAGCAGAGGAGCCTGCAAGCATTACATAAGCAGTCTTGGGGGCTGGAACCTCAAAATAGAAAAAAAGATTTCAATTTAATAGAGATGAAAAGTAGGTGATGAGGTAAAGATTTATATTCACCAGAGTCCCACAGTGGAAGGATCATGTTTTATTTTAGAAGGAAATTTGAGTCAGTGGGAGCTAAAAGAAAACACCCCAGACACGAACTCATTCTCATGTACCGTTTCCTAAGAAGGCTAATTTTTTCAGCACTTTTTGTTGTTCTTGTATTTAACACAAGTACTCCATTTGGATGATTAAAAAAAAGACTATCAAGAAAGGCTAACCAAGAAAGCCAAACAGAACATACAAACATTGCTAGAACTAAAATAAAGGTTACTCTCTATAAAATTTCCCCAAACTCCATGATGTTATTATATTATCTTCATAACTTTTTAATTGATTATAGAAAAAAAGGTTATTTGTGGTTCTAATTTAATTTCTAAAAATCCTGAGAAAATTTTAATAGTTGTAACAATGACAAATGAAGGTGGTGTATTTTCTATTTATGTAACTGGAAAGGCATTTCACCTTGTATGTGGAACAAAACTCCAGCCTGAATAGAGGTAAAAATATTAGGAAGTGGCTAACAGAATCTAGGGAAGTCTGGAAAACGTGGGGAGCTTTCTGGGGGTTTTTTTTTGTTTTTAAAGGGGAACAAGGAACATTTTAATATTCCAGGTCTTCCCAGCATCAGGATTACTTTATTAGGAAACCAAATTATACATAAAATTAAGTGGACCTCGGTAAATGGCCCTAAAAACTTTTCATGTATTGCACTTTAACTTTGGTCCCATCCATTCTCCACCTTCCAACTCTTAAAACTATCCACAAATTCCAGTCTAAGAGCAGTCTCAGTTTGTTTTCCTAGGAATTAATTGGATTTCCATCCTTTAACTGTCCAAAGCACTCAGCTCACTTACTGGCCTGCCTTTTCGAGTTACATTTTCAGTTTTTCTGTTTTTTCAGTCCGTCCCCATCCCATTTTCTCTATTTGACAAATACTTATTTAAGTACTTATGGACTAGTCGCTCTGCCTATTATTGAATACTGTGACCAGAACTGATGTAAGTAAATTCATAAAGGTTATAATCACTTAACTTACACTTAAATTTGCCCTTAAGCCTATCTTAGAAATTTTTGATGATCTTTACATCTGTCTCCCATTACATGGGCCTTGAATCAAAATACTACCCAGAACATTTATAAGCCCTGGAAGAGACTGAAGCTATCAGTTAGTGAAGCGTTCGTTTTCTTAACGTTTCCTTAATCTATCACACAAGGGTGAAGATAAATCACAACTCAGAAATACTTGGAGAACCAAAACGTTCAGTGATTTAAAAGACAGTAAGGAAAGACAGGACCATAGAAATTAAAATATACTACTAAACAACTGGTAACTTAACAAAATAAGTAGGGGTAATAAAAGTAGGTATTCCTGGGAATGTATGTTAAGTGCCTTTTCTTTCTTTTTTTTAAATTTATTTTTATTTTATTTATTTTTGGCTGCATTGGGTCTTCGTTGCTGCGCGCAGGTTTCTCTCTAGTTGCGGAGAGCGAGGGTTACGCTGCGTTGTGGTGCGCGGGCTTCTCATTGCGGTGGCTTCTCTTGTTGCAGAGCACGGGCTCTAGGCGCGTGGGCTTCAGTAGTTGTGGCACACGGGCTCAGCAATTGTGGCTCACGGGCTCTAGAGCACAGGCTCAGTAGTTGTGGTGCACGGGCTTAGTTGCTCCACGGCATGTGGGATCTTCCCGGACCAGGGCTCGAACCCGTGTCCCCTGCATTAGCAGGCAGATTTTTAACCACTGTACCACCAGGGAAGCCCTAAGTGCCTTTTCTTTACACATTTCATTGTTTATCAGATTTCTATAGCAATAATGAGGCGTTCTTACCAGAAATGAAATGCACAATTTGAAAAAAACCTCCTTCCTTGATGGCACTCAAAACACAGGTTCTACCTCAACTCTTCATGTGAAATTTATAAAACAGGGACACAATCTAGACAAAACGGTGACACTCTCCACACTCAACAGGTGTCACCTGTTTTGTTTTTCCCTTAAAATGGTAATATTGTTCCAGATCATACATAAGCCATATTTTAAAAGGCAAGAACTGTAGAGAAAGTTAATTCCTCCAGCAAGTACACTGTACAGAAATAATCACTATTAACAGTTTGGTATACACCTTTCAGGATTTAGGCAGATATCAGCATGAGCATCTCTATGTAGATGGAAAAAGAAAGACACAAATATGTTTGGTATAGCCATTTCATAGATCTTAGATATCTTTCCACATCAACAGATAATTCTAGCTTTATCATTTTAAAAGCTATATAATATCCCATTCTAGGTAAACATGATTATTCAACCAATCCCTTACTAATGAACATATAGGCTGTTACTATCCCAGCATGAATAAGAAATAAGAAATAAAATAGTCTATTTTGTGAAAGAATACTCTAGAAAAAACATATACATATGTGTGTGTGTACATATATATGCCAAGCAATAAACCTATTTGAGAAGGTTTTTGCTGTGATAGTGTAGCAGATCACCTTTGATTTAAAATAGTTAAAATAACTAAGAAGTCTTGTTCTCATTAAGAAAATCAGAAATGAAAACAGCTTCTGTGAGAATATAAAATGATCAGGACCAAAACACTAAGTGACAGTCTCTGCTTCCGACTTCTTCGAGAAGAGCACCTGCCATTTCAGAAACAGATTTCCGAAAGCTTCCGAAAGGAAGGTGATGCCTACTAACCCTCTTTCCCCAGCCAAATGCCTGTGACAAGAACTAGAAAGAAGCCAGACAACAAAGGGGAGAGACACTGTATACATTATTTTTAAAAAACTGGTCACTTGATGAAGTAGGTAGGGCTATTAAAAACAGGTACCTATGGGGTGTATTTTAAATAGTGTTTTCTTTTCTTTACACATTTCCTATTTTTCATATTTTCTGTAGTGCTTATGAGGTGTCCTTCTTAGAAAGGAATTCTAATACAGTGGTCATTCACCTTGGTTGTACGTTACAATTATCTGAAGGTGCTTTTTAAAAGATATTGTTGCCTGGGCCCCTCTCCAACCAGTTAAATCAAAATTCCTGGGGTTAGGGTTCAAGTATCAATTACAAAACAAATATTCTTTAAAATAACATTCAGGGACTTACCTGGTGGTCCAGTGGGTAAGACTCCGTGCTCCTACTGCAGGGGGCCCCCAGGTTCTATCCCTGGTCAGGGAACTAGATCTCACATGCATGCCGCAACTAAGAGTTTGCATGCCGCAATTTAAAAAAAAAAAAAAAAATCCCGCATGCCGCAAAGAAGATCCTGCATGCTGCAACTAAGACCAGTCGCAGCCTAAATTAATTAATTAATTAAATTTTTTAAAAAATGCCTACAAAGAAGTGCACAAAGTTTACACTGCCAGATCAAGAAACAGCATTCTAACCTCTTAGAGGTCTCCTGGTGGCCTCTTCCAATCACTACCTCTTCCCTCCTCCCCAGAGGTAACCATGATCCTAACTTTTAACACCACAGATGGGCATTTTTTTTTTGAAATTTAATTAAATGGAATCATACAGCATGAATTCTTTTGTGTCTAGCTTTTTAAAAATCAACAATTTATTTGTGAGATTCATCCCAGCTGCTATCGTAACTGTTACTCATTCACTTTCACTGCTGTATGCTTCATGAAATAAATATACCACCATTTATTTATCTATTCTACTGTTAACGAACATTTGGACTATTTCTAGTTTGCAGTAATTATAAATAACTCCATTCGGACAATTTTTTGTATGTGTCTTTTGGTGCACATGTACACATTTCTATTGGGTACAACCTGTGAGTAAAATTATCAGGTAACAGGGTATACTTATGTTCAATTTTAGTAGATACTCCTGAACAGTTATCCAACATGGTTTTGCCAATTTAGACCTCTATCAGCTTGTGAGGAAGTATTCCAGTTACACTATACTCTCACCAACACTTGGTAAGAACATTTTGTTTTACCTATTGGTTATTTAAATATCCTCTTTGTGAAAGGGTCTGTTAAGCCTTTTGCCCATTTTAAAAACTGGATTATCTGTACTTATTGAATTTTAGGAACTCTTTAGTCATCACTGATATGAGTATTCTGTCAGATATGTGTTACAAATATCTTCTCCCACTCTTATAGCTTGTCTTTTCACTCTCGATACCTTTAGATTAACAGAAGTTTCAATTTTAATGTAGTCCAATTTCTCAAGTTTTTCCTTTATGATTTTAAAGAATTCTTTGCCAACACATTCCAAGATCAGGAAGATACATTCCCCATATTAATGTCTAGAACTTTGTTCTACCTTTCACATTTAAGTCTAAAATCAACCTGAAACTGATTTTTATGTATGGTGTGAGGCGGGATGGTCAAGGTTCATTTTCCCATATGAATATCCTGTTGACATAGCAACCTTTATTGAAAGTAGTTTCCTTACTGCTCAGCAATTCCACCTTTCACATAAGTCAAGTGACATATGTGAGGGTTTATTGCTGGACTCTTTAACTGTGTACCATTGGTCTATTTGCCTATCCTAACACCAATATTACACTGTCTTAATTTCTGCCCCAAATTGTTCTTCCTCCTCAAGACTGTCTTGAGTATTTTTGGCCCTTTTTCATTTCCATATAAATTTCAGAAAGCAGCTTGTCAATTTCCACAAAAAAAACCCTGCTGGGATTTGATTGAGATGGCACTGAATGTATTAATTTAGGCAGAAATGATACCTTTATAACAGAATTTTTCTAATCTACGAATTTGAGATATCCCTCTATTTATTTTCTTAATTTATCTCAAGAATGTTGTATAGTTTTCTCTATAGAGATTGTAACATATCCCATTATAATTATCCCTAAATATTTAATATTTCTTGATGGTATTATAAATTTACTTTTTATTTTCTATTTCAATTTCTAGCTGTCTCTTCACCAACATGCCTTTTTTTCAAGGCTCCAGGTGATTCTAATGTCCAGCCAAGGCGTGAGAACTCCTAACACAACGTTTGATGAATTAGGGAAGGAAAGCTATATTTTTTCCTATTCTTAGTTCTCTTTATCTAACTTTTGTGTGAAAATCCTCTGGCAATCCAAGAGCCATTTCACAATTTTTATAGAATACTGTATATTAAACAAACCAGTTACGGTTTGAGTCCTGACTTGCAGGGCCCTTTCATATTTGATGTTCCGGAGCCTCACACAGTGCCAGGCACCTGGTTGGCACACAGTAAATGTTTGGTAAATGACAGTTGAATTTTGTGACCTCAGACAAGTAATTATTTCCTATGGGCCTCAGTTCCCTCATGGTAAAATGCAGTTAACTGTGCTGCATACATCACGTGGCTGCTGAAAGTATCAAATGGGAAAAAAATTGTAAACTGTCAACACTACACAATAAAATATCATTATTAGTTTCTGTTAGCTTTCCAATGTTTCAGAGGCTCATGTCCTTATCAAAAAAAAAAAAAAAATGCAGGCAGTCAGTATGGTCCTCCTACAAATAAACTAGTGGGAAGAAGAGGTCTAACAGGTATAAAACGCCCAGCACATCCATCATGAACAGCGAGTTGAGAAAGTGACTTCCACAGACTGACAAGGAAATATACTGAAAGTCAAAACAACTTTAACAGTCTAGCCTGGCAGAAACTGCATTTCATTTCTACTCATAAAAACAGACATGGCAAAGGAAGACACAAATACAAAAATATGTCCTGAAGAGGTTAACAGGAACTTAACTGCACTTCTAAGTCATCTGGAAAAGGATGCATCAGAAACATTTTTTGAGGGATAATTAGATCTTATGACTTGAGGAGTGGACAGGAAAGACAGCACATCAAGGATATTACAGGGCAGGGCTTCCCTGGTGGCGCAGTGGTTAAGAATCCGCCTGCCAATGCAGGGGACACGGGTTCGAGCCCTGGTCCAGGAAGATCCCACGTGCTGCGGAGCAAGTAAGCCCGTGTGTGGCTCTACTGAGCTTGCGCTCTAGAGCCCGCGAGCCACAACTACTGAGCCCACGTGCCACAACTACTGAAGCCCGCACACCTAGAGTCCGTGCTCCGCAACAAGAGAAGACACCACAATGAGAAGCCCATGCTCCACAACGAAGAGTAGCTCCCGCTCACGGCAACTAGAGAAAGCCCGCGTGCGGCAACGAAGACCCAATGCAGCCGAAAATAAATAAATTTAACAAAAAAAAAGAAGGCTATTACAGGGCAAATGGCTAACACGAGACTGAGCACTTAAGCTGTAGTTCTCCTCTGCTTTCTCTGGCAAAAATGTTTCTTGTCATCTAACGTACAGCAGGGGACCCTTTTCTATTTTTCATACCCTTCCTCCATTCCTACCCAGAGTCACTCTTTCCTTCCAATAATTCCATTCTAAAAAGAGCTGCCCAATCCCAATATGTTCCTTTTCTTTCTCAATCAGATCCTAAACTTGCAACCTTCAAATTTTCCACCTCTTCCTTTTTACTATTTACTGAAATGTACCTCCACTGTTTCTGCTTTAACTCAACAGAAAAATTCTAGGACAGATTTGTCAACGGTTAGTCTTCATAATTCTCTTCAGATGGAATATTAAAAACAAAAACCGTTCAGCTACTTGAGCGGGCCAGCATTCAACTGCCCCTCCCAATTTCTCATTGATACTTTCTTATGAATTTTCATTAGCCCTAAAAGGCGAAAGGAAACACAAAAATGCACACACTTTTGAGAGAAAGAGAACACCTGCAACTAACTACACAAGTGGCCTGCTACCTTCCTTAAGCATTATGGATAGCACAAACTGGAGAAGGTTCAAATAGCACTCTGCTCAACTCCAATCACTAGGTAAGTTCCTGTGAGTTACCAGATATGAACCTGAATCAATAACGAAAGGTGTTCACGGTAGCAGGGAACCGGGACTCCAAGAGAAGGGAAAACTGTTTAGATGTATGGTTCATCTCCTGCTGGTCGCAGAAAGCACCATCCTCAGACATTCTAGAACTCGATCTGCCACCTTCAAAGATTCACTTAGCTTCTAAGCCACTAGTCAAGGTGTTTAGCTCTTTCTGCTAGAGATGGGTAAATCCTCCTAACTTACAGCAGCTACTCAATTTCGAGTTTGTATACTCATCAGAATCCTCAAACAGAAATCCAGACATTTTCCAGGAGGACCATGCAAGTCTGGAACTAAGTCTTCCTTAATTTCCACTCTGATCTTTATCTGACAGATGTGGAGAATATCAGCTTTCATTAACCCTCAGCAGTCAAGTTACCACCTGCTGTCCCTCTTCTGCACAGAACAGCAATACTGATGCAAGGCCAGAAGAATAACGTGGCTGAGGAAATAACAGTGCTGTAATCGCAGAGGGGAGAAACAGTGTCTGAAAAACATTAACTTCTCACATTCCTCCTCTCGTCTGATCATCTGCCAAGTCAATCTCTCAGATTCTTCACCTTGGAAGAATGGAAATAGCCATATGAGGGAGGGAGAAGAGACTCTACTTTGAGGAATGAGAATTCAGAGAAGAACTAAGTGTAAAGCACCACACTAAGTAAAACATTCTCACTGGAGGGCAGCTTTGTAGAAGTGGAAGACCATGAAATTGACAGCAAGACACACGGGTTCATCTGCTGTCTGTGCCCCTCTTAGCTGTTTACTTGTGTAGTGAGCATCGTCTTGGGCCTCAGGTTCATCCTCCACCAGTGAGGACAATAATTATCTAACAGGGTGGTAAGGATTAAATAACACTGCCATGAAAAGCACCTGGCACATACTGCGCGCAGTGAATGTTAGCGCCCTGTTATAAATAAGGCTATTTTTTCTGCAGAACTATAACCGCCCTTTTCAGCTTTGGCCTTAAATTCTAGGCAAAAATTCTAGGATTCAGTTTGCACAAGTGCTTTTCAAAGATACGCATTCAGAAACAGAATCACATTATTCAGAAAATATTATGTTTCAGAACTACAACTAGTCTCTTAAGCTCAAAACAAAACCAAGTATGTTCTCGACCCCATGGAAAAGCACATGATTATCAGCTTCATACAATTAACGCTTTTTACAGTTTATATTAACAAACCACCAACTATTGCTAAAATCCATTCACCAAGCACATGACCTATGGTCTAAAGTCCCATTCTGGGTTCACTTTTCCTCTGAAACTCCGTAGAGCATAACCAGTTTGAAAAGCACCTAGATTTTGGAGTACAAAAACCCGCTGCACCTTGGCTGCATCAAGCCTCGCAGTCCAGACGCTCAGACCAGCCACTTGGGAGCAAAGAGGTGTTTTAATGTGTTAAATAAAACCTACAAACATGGCTGCACCCTAAGGGAGAGAATAATGTGTCTGAACAAGAGAGTTTCCTATCTCTTCCCATTCCCCCCAGCCTAAATTAGGAGGTTGACATTAAGGCCTCCTTAGCAATGGGACTTGCCTTCTGCAGGAAAGGACCTCGATCCATTCCTGCCGTTTCTGAACTCACCGTCTCCCCCGCTGCGCGGACAGACCCCGGGGTGGACTCTGACCTTGCAAGAAATGCAAGACCAAGTTTGGGTTGCAGCAGTCAGGCGCCCCCGACCTTACCCTCGCTGGAGTTCCCGACGGTCTCGGCTCCGGCGGCCGCCGCCGGTTCCGACGCCAACACAGCCAGGAGCAGCAGCCGAAGGAGCTCCATTGCTGCCCCAACCGGGCGCCGCCACCTAGCCCGCGCTATCCCGGGGCGCCCGCGTCCGGCGCCATCGCTCGCTAGGTGCACGCGCAGCACACCTGCCAGCCCCGCAGAGCCCGCGCGCCCCCCGCCCCGGCAGAGGGCTCCAGTTCCGGCAATCAGCCCCGCTGCGCGGCCCCACGCCTCCTCCAGCCCCTCACGTCACGGCGACGGCGCCCCCCGGGGCGAGGGCGGGGACGGGAGCGGAGGGGCGTGCCCGGGCGGCGCTCGCCTCCTCCCGGCCGGCGGCGCTGCGGGCACCCTTGCGCCGAGGGCTGCGGCGACCCCAGGAAGTTCTGGGTTGTAACCTGTACTTCTCACTTTGGTATCTTTCGCACTTACGAAAACTACCGTTCGAGTGAAAAATAACCCTTTCTGTTGCGGCCTAACGTCTCCAGGCTCCAGTTTCCCGCGTTTCCTTTGCAAACGGAAAAAAAACAGGAATCTGGTGCTCAAAACGCTGGAGTTGATCGTTTCTCCCTGTCGCAATTGCCTTAGCTCCTCAGGGAGATGTTGGTATGAAAATACGGGGGCAGTGCTGTTTCTGTGGTGGTTATTGCGCTGGTGATGAGCGCCACAATTAAAAATGTTTCGTTTTCTCTAAGTGAAATTATCCTCGAAGACTCAAGACCTTCATCTGAACTTCCTCTCTCAAATTTTATACGTGAGGGCTGTTTAAAGGACCGTAGTCCATGTGACAGATGGCTCGTGAGACGATTGTGGAATTAGGTTTATAGGTAAACCTATAAATATAGGTTTATTTATTTGGGGAAGATTGCCCTGCTTTATTTTTCCTGCTCTTTAACTTTTTCAGTTATCTACTTTAATAAGCAACTATGTTGAAAATTCCATATGTGGTTAATCCACTACTAAACTAAAAACCTATAGCAATCACCATAATATTAATAGGCACAACTCTTTTACTGTCCTTCCTCTGCCTGGCCCAAATGTTCACACCTGCGGTAGTACTATTTATTCCTATGGTGTTTATTCACTGTCCTACATACCCTCTTTCCACTAACTCTCAATAGATGAAACCCCGGGACGATGATAGCAGCGATTATAAGGGTAGCATTTGGACCCGTGGATGGATTATTCAGTAAATTGTGTCTGATAACTGATTAGCTGCACTGTACTGGGGAGGGAGGATTACAACTCTATCTCACATTGTCACAATGAAATCCCAAAGTAATAAATAAAATTAAAATCTTAAAAGAGCTAGAAGAAATACACGTTTAAAAAAAAAAGTTGATCGCAGAATGATGGAACTGTCTTTTTTTTTCTTTTAAGAGTTTATTTGAGCAAAAATCTATTGGAATCTGGCAGCGCCAAACCAGAAGTGATCAGAATTATTCAGTGGAGGAACTTTCTAAGCAAAAAAGCGAAGGAGGAAACCATAAAGGAAAAGATTGGTAGATTTGGCTACTTAAAAATTTTAATAAAGTCAATAAACACCATAAACAATAAACCATATGAAAAGTCAAGTTGATGACCAAAAGTAAAAGTTAGCAAACGACATGAATAGGGAATTAAAAAAACAAAAAAATAGAAGAAAGGAAACACAAATGGCCAGTAAACACATGAAAAAATGTTCAAATTCACTAGTAACAAACAAAATCAAATTAAGAAACTAAGCTGTAAATATTTTAAAAGAACAAGAACTTCGAGTGTGAGTGAAAGAGCTGAGAAGACATTCTAAGATCTAACTAGTGAGAGTGTAATTTCATACAACTTTTTATGGCATGAGCTGTATTAGAAATCTTAAAAATACTCAGCTTTGGTGTGATAATTGCACTTTTGGATTTAAGCATGTAAATATGTATAAAAATTATATATATATATTAGTGCACAAAACTGTTCAAGATGTTATTTACAATAGCAAAAAAACTAAAACAACCTAAATGCCCAACAATAAGTTAATTAAATAACCTGTAACGCAGCCATATAATAGAATACCTTGTAGCCCTTCAAAAATCATTTTTTAAAAGGCAACTGATTGATCAGGAAGTGTTTATGAAAAGGCAAGTTAAAAAGCAATATATATATATGTATATAGTATAAGCTTTATTTTGTTTTCTTTCTAATATGCATTCATGTTTATATGCATAGAAAGGTTGAAAGAACATTATCAAAATGTTTAAAAGAGTTTATCTCCAGGTGATTGGATTAAGAATGATTTTCTCTGCACATTTCTGCTCTTTGTAAAATTTCTACATTGAATGTGTATGGCTTTTGAATAAGAAAATAAAAAATTTTTTAAAGTATACTGCTAAAGGTTTTCTGGTAAAAGCATTCAGGATTTAACAGTCCATCTTCCTGAATATGACACATAATGTTTTTCATGATGTAGCGCCTGTCCAGCTCTCCAGGTTCTTGCTGCAACTCAACTCCTCTATGCTGGCCATGCTGAATTAATTTCACTTCCCTGAACTAACCCCATTCCCTCTCTTCCACACTTTAGCATTGCAGTTCCCTGTGCCTGCAGTGGACAGCTGATGACAGATGTGTCAGTAAGCAGCAGAGGGCCTCATTACCTTGGCTCCAAAATACTGTAACAGCTTGGGAAGAATATTGGCTGGGGTTCCTTGCTCATGTCAGAGTTCCACTGGCAACCTGTGAAGCAAATGGGCCCAGCAGCTTTGCAGATGAGTTTTTATTCCTAAGAATTGAAAGGAAACACAAAAACTGACAAGATTCCCAAATCCAAGATATAGATAACTCGAGCCTTAAGGACTGCTTCAAGTCTAGAAAAAGAAGGCAGGCAACCTATCCTAGATTTTTGACAAAACCCAAGACACCGTGGATGGAGATGGGAATAGAGCTCCAGGGGAAAGGCAGGAAAGGTGCTCTGTGAAGCTTGCCCATGTATTCTATCTCATTCTAACCTCACCTTTGCTCTGTATTGTTTTTTTGAATTTTATTTATTTTTTTTATACAGCAGGTTCTTATTAGTTATCCATTTTATTGCTCTGTATTTTTTAACACTTGTTCTTCCTGCGGGTTACATTCTTTGGACTGTGTTCATTAAATTAAATTCAATAAATGTTTATTTAGTAACATATGGAAATCATTATGCTAGGAAATTCATTCATTTAGTCCATAAATATGCATTCAGAGTCTTCTGTCAGGCTAAATGCTAGGTGCTAGGCATTGGAAATATGGAAACAATTAAAATATGTTTCCTGCCCACAAGTAGCTCATGGTGGTGAGTAAATTAGAGTCATGTATGGATAATTAAACCTCAATGTGTTAAGTGGAATAACAAGTACAAGGAACAATTCTGAAGATTGGGAGCAACTAACTTACTCCAGGGTTTCAGGAAAGGTTTTATCAAGAAAGAAACATTTAAAATGAGGTTTAAAGCTGAGTGGATGATCAACAGGGGAACAAAATCGAGGTAGGGATGGAAGTGTGGGCTTTTCATACAAGGAAGAGAGAATTAATGCATCTTATATGATGTGCATAGGAGTACGAAACAGCAGAGCATCTGTAGGGAATTGCAAAGAATCTAATGTAGCAAATGCTTCTTTACAGTATTTCAGCACAGTGCTTGGAACAGTTTAGATGTTTAATAAATTGTGACTGAGTAGGTAATAAAGGTAGTTAAGGGTCTAGAATGTCAAGTTAAAGAACTGTTAAAGAGTTTTTTTTCCTGAAAAAATAGGGAGTCACTACAGATTAAAAAAATCAAAGTACTTACTACAAGATTGGCTATGAGTTGATAAAAAATCAAAGCTGGGTGATGGGTACATGAGTGTTCACCATACTATTCTCTCTACTTTTGTGTATGTTTGAAACTTTTAATAATATAAAGTTTAAAAGGACATACTTACCAAAATTGTGTTTCAAAGATAAGAGATACATAATACTGAGTTCCTCCTCTTAAAACCATATAATCCAGTAGGGGATTCAAGAAAAGCAAATTAAAAAGCATATGAAAAAAATGTCGGGGCTTCTTCCCTGGTGGCGCAGTGGTTGAGAGTCCGCCTGCTGATGCAGGGGACACGGGTTCGTGCCCCGGTGCGGGAAGATCCCACATGCCGCAGAGCGGCTGGGCCCGTGAGCCATGGCCGCTGAGCCTGCGCGTCCGGAGCCTGTGCTCCGCAACGGGAGAGGCCACAACAGTGAGAGGCCCGCGTACCGCAAAAAAAAAAAAAAAAAAAAAAAAAAAGTCAAAATCATGAGAGAGAAGGGGTCCATGTGGAATCTAGTAATTCATAAAATTTACATTAAAAGTAAAAAGTAAAACTTTAAAAGATCGACTGTGAATTAAATAACAGCAAAGAAATTGTTTTGATAAAGGTAAAGAATTGAGTGGTTATCAATTGGAGGCAATTTTGCCCCACACTTGCTAAGAGTCATCTGGGAATATCTGGAGATATTTTGTGTTGTCACGACTGGGTGGGGGGGCGTTGCTACTCTCATCTCGTGAGTAGAGGACAGGGATGCTGGCAAACATCCTACAATGCACAGGACAGCACCTCAGAACAGAGAATGTAATCAGCCTCAAACGTCAATAGAGCCACTGTTGAGGCATCCTGAGCTACACATATAAGACTGCATTTTGCAGGTGGATTATTACCTGAAGTCCACAGCTTCAAGAGGTTCATAAACCCCTGAAAATGTATGCAAAATTTTGAGAGCCTGGTCTGGGGAAAGGTCCACAGTTTTCATCTGATTCTTTAGGGGTCCATGGCCAGAAGAGGCTTAAGAAGCACAGGAAAAACAAAAGTTTTCAGGGGCTGTGGCTGAATAATCTGAAGTGATTATTTCACTCAGAAAACTATTGCACGAGGAGGCGGGAATCTGTTTCCTAGAGCCAGATTATGGTCAACCTTGAAATCCAAGCAGAAATGGCTGAACATCAACCTGAAGTCTCTGTGGAGCTACTGAAAACTGTAAGGAACGTAACGACAGGACAACAGGATGGAAGTTGGGTTGTAATAGGAGTTGCTTCAGAGTGGTTCTACCCCGTGCCCAAATTCTCTTCAATCAGGCTACAAAACTTAGTATTCTCCCTTCACGGGTGCTGTCATTCATCCCTCTGTATCCAGCCAGGCACCAATCCGTGTGAATTTTTCCTTCAAAACTAGCCTTGTCTTCTCTTCTCAGACTCAACACCCTAGTCTAGGCCCAACTCACCTCATTCTTGAATAACTGCAGACCCCTCCTCCTTGTGAGCCCCTGGCTTATTCATCTTTGCAAACCCAGCACCCACATAACTTTCTGGTACGTGGCAGACATTCAGTAAAGAACACTCTCAGCTGGGGGTGAGAAGAGAGGGTCACAAGCTTACCCCATATTACAGTTAAAACAAATTAGAATTCTCTCAATAATCCCATTAAGGGGGGAGGTGCCTCACCTGTAGAGGTTCCCAATTAGGTCCCAGCAGTTTTGTCGATTGTTTGGAGGTGGGGTCGTGTGGTGGTGAAGCAGAAGTGGAGCTTCCCAGCTAGGGCTGGAGTAGATCCCACAAGCCAAGTTCCCAACGGAGAGTTTTCTCCACCCTCCCCCAACCCCAGGAGGGTAATCAGGGATAATCAGCCTGAGGAGGAGGGTCCGTGAGTTTGTCTGAAGTCCACAAAGCAGTCATTAGCTGATTCCAGCCTCATTTCTTTCCAGACTATCCCCAGGCTCTAACTTTCCTTAAATACCAAGTTTTGACCAACACTCTTCACACTGAAACCCTCAATAGGTCCCAAGTCTAAGCCTAAATTGCACAGCTTATCTTTTTTAAAACTGAACATACCGCACCTACGCACCTGGCTTATTTTCCAGGAACCTCCTCTTTTCCCACTACCTTCTCCTCTTTCCCACTGTGAAACTTCCACTCTCTTCTCCACCAGCCCTGCTCTGTTCCTTACCGAGTTTCTCGCAGTCACACAAACAAGAGATGCTGGTTACACCTTACCTTTTACCTTACCGTCTTCCTCCTCTCACTTTTGCCCACAAGACCTGTTTTCCATAATCTTCCAACACGGTAATTACAGCTCAGTTTAGTACTAGTTTTGGACACTTTCCACCTCACGTGTGTCAGCTGCCCCAGCACACCCACATTTAAGTACGTATCCAGGCGTTCCGCACCCAAAAGCAACGGAGGGGCACCCGAACACAGCCCGTCCTGATTACTTGCTGAATTTTAATTTGGATTTCTTGACACTCAAGTCGGTACCGTGATTCCCAAGTATTCTTTAGTTGTTTGCTGCGTATGTTTTGTGGTCCATGTCAAGTATTCAAGGCGATGTTTATAAATGGATACAAGGGAGGATAGGGAAAATTACTTTTAAAAACCGCATAATCCAACAATCTCTGTAAAGTGTTTAACACCTAAAAGCCACGCGAAAGTATGTTGCCCCCCGCAAACAATGTCGGCCCTGTACAGTCCCCGCGTTACTGAACGTGCGCAGAGCTGAGTCGCCCCAGGTGGAGGTAGTCCATATAAAGTAGGCCTCCGGAAAGTCCCGCCCACTCCGCGCAGTCCCGCCCACTCCGCGCCGGGCGTGGAGTAAGGCTTGACTCCACCCCTCCAAGAACGCAGCCCCGTGATTGGCCATGACGCATCCTAGAGCTGCCCAATTGCGTACGAGCAGCTACTCTCGCGTCTTTTTGTTTGCGGGAGGAACATGGCGGATCGGCTCACGCAGTTGCAGGACGCCGTGAACTCGGTGAGTAATTGCACGCGATTAATCTCCGTCGTCTTCTTTCCCGAGGGAAAGCAAGGCAGAAAAAGAGGTCCGAGGGACAAAACTCGGAAGTGGGGAGTGGACTGAGGCCGGGCTTCAGCATCAAGCGCTGGGGTTTGGAGGGAGGCGGCGCCGCGGTCTGGAAGGTCTTAGGCCGGCGGCGGGGCGGTGCGGGAGCCAGCGGCCTCTTAGCCTGCGAAGTGGAGGATCTCACTCCACTCCGTGACAGGACTGCGTGGACTGTCACGCTTCACGGCCTTATCATGTTCTCTCGGAAAGGTTTTATTTGCTTGTCAGTGGTGCTTATGGGAGTGCTCCTCTTTGGCCGGGAGGGGAGAGGAAGCGGAAGCTTTTTTCCCCTTATCAATTTTAACCCACGGAGGGCAATTCTTGTTCTTAATGATTGGATTTTTGCCATTAGATGTTAGCCGAGAATATTCCTTCGCCAAAATTTTCAGGTTGGGGCGGGAGTGATAGTAAAGTGAAAAGTTTTGTTTCATCTTAGTTGGTTCCTATAGACCAAGGGTTCCATCTCTTGGCCGCGCCCCCAGCATGTCAGTTTAGGGAAAACCGACGTCTTTATGATAGTCAATCTTCTGACCTTCGTATGTCTTTATTTAAGGTTTTTAAAATGCCTGCCAGTGGGTCTACTCCCTATGAAAAGTCAGGTGTTGTGAGTAGACCCCCCTACTTTGATCCTTCTGATTATTTTTCCTGTTATGTGTACGTAGAAAGTATATGCAAGCCAAAGAATTCATATACTTATTACCATTAAGAGCTAACTTGTTTACATTTCTGTTATTCTATTTATAATTTGATGTCCCAGGTGAGATGTTGACTGGAAAATCCAAGTACCTGGTCTCTTGCCAGTTTTTTCTCAGCGGAAGCTAATAAGTTGGTATTCCTGTTATTAGTCTGTGCACTTGAAGAGTGTGAATCTGCTCACAAGAAACTGATCTACTTTGTGTGTGAGGGCCAGCCCCTAAATGTTGATGAATTCACCAAGGTAAATTCTACCTTTGGTGACTTGCCTGGGCTGCCAACCAGTCTCCCTCAGGGAGATACTCCTTTGAGGCTTTACAAAATCAAATTGTAATGATGCAGCTGGATACAAATGTTATTTTAGGGGAAATGTTGTGTATTCATACATGTCTCAGCCAGAAGGATCGTAAGGAAAAGTGAATATGACCCTTAACTCCATGGTAGGCAGGCTGATCATTGGATTTTGGAGAAAAACCTCTAGGTTAACTGGTATGGGTGCCTGGTATCCATGATGGGTGCACCACCATGGTTACAGAGAAATACTCCTTGAGGAGTTTACAGTCTGATTAGAAAGATGTCATATACTCAAGAGACATTTAAATAATGCAAAGGCAGTATGTGGTTAGGAGTTGTAATGAATTGAGTGTTTTCAGCTGTAAGTGCTGAAGTAACGTGAACTGTTGAGTGATATTAATTAAAATAGAGGGAATCTTATTAGCATTTATCTGAATTGTAATTATTTGTGAAGTTATTAAAATAAAATTTATTTTACCCACTGAGAACTCCATGAGAGCAGAAACTGTCTTGTTCACTGTATCAGTGTGTTTATACAGTTATATACAATGCTTGTCATAGAGTTGATTTTTGATAAGTATTTGTTGAATAAATGGATTTTGAGAGCTTCATAAGGACAGAGCAAATAGCCAGTGTGTTGAATATTTGTGTGTGTTTTCTGTCTTCTTCATAACAATGCTATAATGTGAGAATGTTCCCAATTTAAAAATTAAAAGAAACTTGAGTTACCAGAACCAGAATTAGAATCCACGTTTGTACAGCTTCAGAGCAGTAACTGCCACTCTATTACCTTTGCAAAATGTGAGCAAAAGCAGTGTAGTCAGGAATGAATTATCACCAGTCAGGCATATGTGAAGGAGGAGTAGATAATGAACAAGTAGCGTTGACTTAGATTATTGAAAGCTTTGAAATAGCCTGAAGACTTGGAGATTTATCTTGAAGACCATGCTGGGGCAAACTCAGAATTTTTGAGCAGAGTAAAATAACATAGAAAATAATAAGAACTAGGAACTTCCCTGGTGGCACAGTGGTTAAGAATTTGCCTGCCAATGCAGGGGACACGGGTTCGATCCCTGGTCTGGGAAGATCCCACATGCTGTGGAACAGCTAAGCCTGTGTGTCACAACCCCTGAGCCTGTGCTCTAGAGACGGCGAGCCACAACTACTGAGCCCGTGAGCCACAACTACTGAAGCCCCTGCACCTAGAGCCTGTGCTCTGCAACAAGAGAAGCCACCCCAGTGAGAAGCCCGTGCACCACAACAAAGAGTAGCCCCCGCTCGCCACAACTAGAGAAAGCCGGCTTGCAGCAACAAAGACCCAAAGCAGCCAAAAATAAATAATTTAAAAAAAGAAAATAAGAACTAGAAATTAATAAGGAGTCTGTTGTAAACAATTCTTGTGTGAAGTTGAACTAACAGCAGCAGTGATGGTAGAAGGAAAAGGGAAAGATTTGTAGTAGTATTAGCAGGATTTGAAGATGAAAGTTGAGTCTGAAGTTAGACTGGTTCACTAGGAGATTCTCAATAGAAATTAGATATTAAACAAAGGAAACAGTTGACTTTGAGTTCTGTCATTCAAATAATGGCAGTGAATGTTAGTGGAAATGCTGATTCACTGATTGGAGGTAAGGAATTGAGGTTTGAGAGGTCGGGACTATGGAGAGAAGTTGGTGGGAAGACTAGGAATCTTAGGTTTGGAGATGGTAATGTTATGGAGCCAGGTTTGTTTGCTGGACTTGGAGCAGGCCAAACACTGAGACACTGAGTTTCGCAGCAGAGAAGGGGTTTATTTATTCAGGAGGCAGCGGAGTGAGGAGACAGGAGAACAAATCTCAGATTGCTTTCCAGAAGGCAAGAGGCTTGAGATTTTATGGGATAAAGAAGCAGGGTGTTCTCAGGCCTGGGGAAGGGTGGGTGGAGGTAGGGAAAAGGTGAGGTAATTGGTGTTGTGCACGGGACCAGTTTTAGGGTTGGTGGTCCCAACTATTCTTAGCTGGTCTGAACTGGGCAGGGGCCCACTCCAAATCTTCCAAATTTCTGGAAAACAACTTAAGCCCCTGTTACTACAGTGATGCACGCATCAGCAGCATTATCTGTAGGGGTGGTAAGAAGTCTGGTGCGGTGTGACATGGGCTACGTGAAGCTTGGAGGGTGTGCAATTAGGGAAAGAAAAAAAAACCTAAAGCAGTCTTAATCATTAAAGGCAGGTTACAAGCAGAGGGGTTTCTAACAAGCTGTTCCCTTATCTGCTGTTCTGTAAGACGTACTCCAGTATTTTTGTTAGTGTGACAGCTTCCATTAACCCCATGGGACACGGTTTCAGTAAGGACTTGGTATTCTCAATCTTCAAAACTGATTAAGGAATACTTTCAGAGCCCTGGGAGTTCACAGCTTGAGTCCTGGAGAAAAACATTTCAGAATACTTAAGGTGCAGTCTTTTCCCCACTTTTATTCTTGTAACTACTCTAGTTTGAGAAAAGGGGTCACATTTTAAAATTTACCCTGGGGCCATTCTTAGATATTTGCCTATCACATTTGCTCTTTTCCACCACTACTTCCCCAAAAGTCTTTACTTGTGCTTGCAGTAAGTATTGGCATATATTTCTCTAGTCATTCTGTTACCGTGGGAAGAAAAGAAAGATTATTTTGTATTTCTTTGATTGAAACCAGACGTAGTTTCTTTGCATGATTAAAACATTTAATCATTGTTAGTAACTGGTTTATGTTATCCAGAATTACTCCTTTCTGTTTTATTTTCTTGCTCAGAGACCATTATAATAGGAACATTGTTGCTGCCGTCACCAATAAAATCGGTAAAACAGATAAATCCTTTCTAACTTTGCCACCTTTCCTTTGGCCTCAAGCTTGCAGATCAGTTTTGTAATGCCATTGGAGTGTTGCAGCAGTGTGGTCCTCCTGCCTCTTTTAGTAATATTCAGACAGCCATTAACAAAGATCAGCCAGCTAATCCTACAGAAGGTAAATAGATTTTCTTGGCTTCTCTTAGTTTGACTCTCACATTACCTGTAATCCCTTAAAATTAGATTTATTGAAAAATTCAACTTATTTATGGCTTTCTAAAAATGTTATTGTTTGAGAATATTACTACAAGTTTGTCATAAAAGAAATGAATTTGTTATAGTCAATTTATGTAACACCTCATAATTCTTTTCTTGTCAAATAACAGACGTTTTACTTGTTTAGAGGAGAATTGTATGAATTTAGCTGAATTTTACTTGAGGGACCTTAATAAGAAAGGCATCCCATTTATAGATTCCTTTATTCAAGTGACCACTGTATTGTCCTAATAAATGAAATGATATACATTATGCTTACATTCCAATTTGAGTTAATATTAAAGCTAATTCTCAAACATAATAGAATTGATGTGTTAAAATTACACTTCAATCATTAGGAGCCTGCTACAGAAAAAGTTATGAAGTTTTCTGTTTTCATAAAGTTTAATTTCTCTTTCTGAAAACTTGAGATTCTCTAATATCCTAAATGAGTACCATCTTTCTCTAGAATATGCCCAGCTTTTTGCAGCGTTGATTGCACGAACAGCAAAAGACATTGATGTTTTGATAGATTCCTTACCCAGTGAAGAATCTACAGCTGCTTTACAGGTAAAAATATCTTTTCCTTTGAGAATTTTGTGAGTAGAGAATTTTGAATTAAAGAGGTAGATTTAGTGCCTTTTGTTACAATTTTCAAAGTTAATCTAAATTTTAAAGTGGGAATTTTACTGTAAACTACTGTAGTCTGTTAAAGACTGAGCTGAATGTGTATAATTGTCCAATTTTGAGCTTAAAGAAAACTTGCCATTTTCCTCAGTTTGCTTCTTTTCCTTGAAAAGAGTGAGAGGAGGGGCACATTCTGGGTGTGGAGTAGAATAGTAGTGTCCAAAAGCAGTGTGGAAGGGCGTCTCATGTAGCCATCCAGAGATCTCCAATCGAAAAGTCATCTTTTAAGTTAATTTATTCAGAGAAGACTCTGATCTTAGGATTTCTGCCACTGAAAGTTTTATCTGATCTTAGGATTTCTGCAGCTGAAAACTCTATCACAATGGTTGGGTAGTCATCAGATTTAAAAGTAAATACTTTTACTGCAGGTTCTTTCCGCCTCAACTTTCATTAATCTCCAAGTTTTTCATTTCTCAGAACATTCTTAAATTTGTGTCTTATAAAGGCTGCAAGCTTGTATAAGCTGGAAGAAGAAAATCACGAAGCTGCTACGTGTCTGGAGGATGTTGTTTATCGAGGGGACATGCTTCTGGAAAAGATACAGAGCGCACTTGCTGATATTGCACAGTCCCAGCTGAAGACAAGAAGCGGCACCCATAGCCAGTGTCTTCCAGACTCATAGCACAGTGTATATATACCATGCGTGTGGCTGAGAAAAGAACTGTTTCAATGCCATTGAGAATTCTGCATCAGATTTAGATGGAAGCCTTACCAACAGTTACAGAAACATTAAGCACTATGACACATGTTATCTTCTTAGCTATTTTAAATAGTCTTCTGTTTTCACTCTTAATAATAAGCTTGTAAAATCGTGATTGAACCAGCTTTAAACTGTCATTATGCCATTTTTTTTATTGTTATCTCGGTTAAATTATTGCAGATATTGCATTAATGGTCATAATATAATTAAACAGATGTACTGTAAAATTCTATTGTGATGTAATTTGTCTTTATTTTTGTCATATTTCTACAGTCTTTACAAATCAAAACATCCCTCAAGCCAGAGGAGAGGTGGTAAATGCAGAGATAGTGGACTTTTGAATTTAGGTTGATATCCTTCTGCCTCTTTTATTTATTTATTTATTTTTTTTTGCGGTACGCGGGCCTCTCACTGTTGTGGCCTCTCCCGTTGTGGAGCACAGGCTCCGGACGCACAGGCTCAGCGGCCATGGCTCACGGGCCCAGCCGCTCCGCGGCATGTGGGATCCTCCCGGACCGGGGCACAAACCCATGTCCCCTGCATCAGCAGGCGGACGCTCAACCACTGCGCCACCAGGGAAGCCCCGGGAAGCCCCCAGAATTTTAACTAAGTTTCCAACTGGGATGTCTGTGGAAATGGACAAGTTATTTCTAAAATTTATATGGAAGTACAAAGTGTCAATAGAAATCAGTATTCTCATTAGAAAATATAGAATGACAGCTTGCTTTAATAAGACAGCATGTATTAGTGCAGGGATAGATAAATAGGCCAATGGAAGAGAATAGAGAGATCTAACAAATCCACGCAGATCGGAAAACTTGATTTGTGACGGAGATGATGTGAATCACTGGGGAAATAATAGAAATTGTGCTGGATATTGGTTATATATATGCTATATATTAAATTCAGTGCCTATGGGGTTTCTTTTTGGGGTGATGAAAATGTTCTGGAATTAGTGGACGTTGTTGCACAACTGAGTTTACTGAAAAACACTGAAATACATACTTTAAAAGGGTGACTTATGGTATGCTAATTATTTCCCAATAAAGCCGTTATAAAAAAGGAAAAAGAAAAAAAAAATTTCATGCCAGGTGAAGGGCAAATATCTAAAATTTTTAGAAGACATTCTTAGGAAAATATGCATAGCTTCAGGATAGGAAAGGCTTTTTTAAAGTAGATATAAAAATTTCACATCATAAAGGAAAAGAATTCAAAAATTACGATAAACAATACGTGTCAGACACTGCTTCAAACTTACATATATTAACTAATTTAGAAAAGGTTAATAAATTTAAATGCATTAAAATTTAGGTCTTCTGTTCATGAAAGTACTCCAAAAAGAGTAAAAATGCAAGCTCAGCCTTGCAGCAGGTATTTACAGTACTTGGAACTGGACAAAGGGTTAGTATCTAAAATATGTAAAACCCTTCTATGAATCAAAAAAAAAAGAAAAAAGCAACCCATTAGGAAAATCACAAAATAGTCATTTCACAGCAGAGGAATGGCCAATAAAGGTGCACAAGTGCTCAGCCTCATTGGTAATCTGAGAGATTTGAATCTGGCTTTCTAGGTGTTCAAGAAGGTTCACTTTTCCAGGCAGGAGGACAAAACTTACTTCTTATTTTTTTAATTAACACTTTGCTAGCTTGATTTATACATTTTATAATTTGGATATATGGTCCCTAGGCTTCCAAGTATTCTTGGCCAGGGCTATATATGTTCAGGGCAGGCCTATACATGTATGTTTATATAACTTAAAAATAGATTCCAAAGACAAAATTCAGGGCACTGATTACCTCTCTGGTGGAAAGAAGGGGATGCTATTGGGAAGAGGGTCTTTTAAGGTAAGTGTAATAATATTCTTGAACAGGAAGGAATATATTTAATAAAACTCAATATTTCATGTAAACTGTGTTTAAGGGTCATGTTTTCAATGATAAGGTTTAAGGCAGCACATTTTAAAAAATTTTTTGTTGGAGTATAGTTGATTTACAATGTTGTGTTAGTTTCAGGTGTGCAGCAAAGTGAATCAGTTATACATTTACATATATCCACTCTTTTAGATTCTTTTCCCATATAGGCCATTACAGAGTATTGAGTGGAGTTCCCTGTGCTATATAGTAGGTTCTTATTAGTTATCTGTTTTATATATAGTAGTGTGTATATGTCAATCCTAATCTCCCAATTTATCCCTCTCCCCTTCCCCCCCGGTAACTGTAAGCTTGTTTTGTATGTATGTGGGTATATTTCTGTTTTGTATATAGATTCATTTGTATCATTTTTTAAAATTAATTAATTTATTTTTGACTGCATTGGGTCTTCGTTGCTGCACGCAGGCTTTCTCTAGTTGTGGCGAGTGGGGGCTTCTCATTGTGGTGGGCAGGCTTATTGCGGTGGAGCACGGGCTCTAGGCGCGTGGGCTCCAGTAGTTGTGGCACATGGGCTGCTCAGTAGTTGTGGCTCGTGGGCTTTAGAGCACAGGCTCAGTAGTTGTGGCACACGGGCTTAGTTGCTCTGCAGCATGTGGGATCTTCCCGGACCAGGGACCGAACCCGTGTCCCCTGCGTTGGCAGGCGGATTCTTAACCACTGCGCCACCAGGGAAGTCTCTATCATTTTTTTAAAAATTCCACATATAAGTGATGTCACACAATATTTGCCTCTCTCTGACTTCACTTAATATGATAATCCCTAGGTCCATCCACAAATGGCATTATTTTGTTCTTTTTACGGCTAACATTCCATTATATATATATATTTATTTATATTTATATTTATATATATAGGGTTGGCCAAAAAGTCCGTTTGGGTTTTTCCATAACATCTTAAATATATACCACAACTGCTTTATGTTTATCTGTCAATGGACATTTAGGTTGCTTCCATGTCTTGGCTATTGTAAATAGTAAGGCAACACATTTTTAAGCAGCATAATGCTTCACTTGTGTTTGATTTCGGCAGAACTGGTTTGCTGTTAGCCAGTTATAGATATTGGTGGAAGAGGCCTTTCGATCTTCCTCCACAGGACTGACTCCCACTGTCTCCCCAACTCCTCAGAAGTTCAACAGTGAGTAGAATTTAGGAAGATGAACTGCCTGCCGCCGTGTCCTTGCTCTGCATCCTTGTCCCTGCCTATTGAGGGTTGCATTTTTTTTTCTTCCAATTGCCTGAGAAAGGCCTCAGATGGAGCGAAGGCACTGATGCTGCAGGTTGGGGCTTCTGAGACCAAACAAGTATCCATCTTTCACCACGAGAGGGCCGTTTGACCCTGAACTTTGGTTCCATTCAGGAAGTGGCTGTTCTGTGACCTAGAGGGGTATGTGGAGACTAGCTGTCATGCCAGGTTACGATTCCCCTGGAATCCACTCAAACTAGTGTTATGATTCTGATTTGAACTAGTGTCCTCCTGGAGCCAGTAACTTGATTCTGAGACCAAATGTCCACTCTCAGCTGAAAATAAAAGGACAGGCACACACCTTCATGGCTCTTCATACAGAGGTTGTTAAGTCCTAGCATGGGCCACAGAGGAAGCTCAATGAACACTTTCTCTGGATGGTAAATTATCTTTTACATCCACCTTCACACATGTGGGTATGTGTTGGACAGGCCACACATCAGAAACCTGCCCTATGTGGAGAGAAGTGATTAATAGTATAGGCGCATGTGCCACCCTGCTTGCGCTGCCACTAATTAGCTGTATGACCTTGGGCAGGTTACCCATGTCTCAACACAACTGAAAAATAGCGGAAATATTACTCATTTCCTCATGGGGTTGTTATGAAGGGTAAATGAGTATACGTGTGCAGTAGTCTAGCATCATCCTCCTAGACATGTGTTTTGTTTTTTATTGAACGATAGTTATTTACAATGTTGTGTTCATTACTGTGGTACAGCAAAGTGAGTCAGTTATACATATATACATTCCTTTTTACAAAATATTCTTTTCCATTATGGTTTATCATAGGATATTGAATATAGTTCTCTGTGCTAGACAGTAGGACCTTGTTGTTTATCCATTCTATATATAAAAGCTTACATCTGCTAACCCCAACCTCCCACTCCAGCCCTCCCCCCAACCCCCTCCCCCTTGGCAACCACAAGTCTGTTCTCTATGTCTGTGATTCTGTTTCTGTTTCATAGATAGGTTCATATGCTGGACGTGTGTTTTTGTAGGGCCTAGACTATTGAATTAAGTAGGGCTGTGATGGTGATAATGGTGCCTGAATCTTTCGGGTCTTTAAGGGTGGCTTCAATCTCTGCCATAGTTCCAGGCAATAGTTTTTTCTTTACAGTATTTATAATAAAATTTTATAAATTTGTTTTGAATTTTTACAGCATTTACAAATATTTGCAATATTTGTCTTTTATTTCCAATATTGCCAATGCAATATTGTTTTTTATTTACTATTTTGACCAAGGCAGAGTGGGAGGGACAGTTTCAGAGCTTCCACTTGCCTTTGTCCACTTCCATAGCTCTTATGCCAGGGGTTAAGTAACTCATGTGGAGTGGTTGCTAACTGTGAAGTTTAGGGGCTGGGGAAATGGTCACTGGGTAAGTCATGGAACCAGTGGACCTATTATGCGTGGGATCTTGGCCCAGGGCACCATTTATTGTTTATTATTACCTTCCCCAACAAAGGGGCCATGATAATGCTTTGGATTCTCATGTGTTAATGTCAAATCAGACCCTTTAGCTAACACTCCTCAAAATGCCTTGGTATTTCTCTTTTCCTTGTATACAGTTACCTGGGTAAACGGCCATGGGTCCCTTGGGAGTAGGCCTGGGAGAATTATCATAAACACTTGCTATGGTATTGTAGAGTCTTTCTTGTGGGGATCCTCATGAGAACAATGGGTTCTAAATCTGACAAGGGTCTCAGGATTGGAAATAGGGAAGAGATTGTGACTTTTCATTGGGACAGCGGCTCTCTGGTGTTTAACCATCATCCATCCTTGGTTTCATTGGATTGTATTGATTGAGCAGTACTGCCCATCTCTCCTGCCCTTGGGGACTCGTGTTCTCTTAACACATTCCATAGTTCTCTGAAGTCAGGGTCCCCATTGCTAGCCACTCTGACTTTGCTATTTATTACTATGATTGAGCCCATCTTGTGCATCTGATAAGCATTACCACCTGACCCCTATTTGGGATCCTTTCATTTCTACTACTATCAGGTAGCCCAATTTAATGCCAGCATCTTCTGCCATCGGCCTTAGCCAGTGGTGTGCTA